GTCCATGCTTCTTTAAACAACCTGTCCATGCTTCTTTAAACAACCTGTCCATTCTTCTTTAAACAACCTGTCCATACTTCTTTAAACAACCTGTCCATACTTCTTTAAACAACCTGTCCATACTTCTTTAAACAACATGTCCATGCTTCTTTAAACAACCTGTCTATGCTTATTTAAACAACCTGTCCATACTTCTTTAAACAACCTGTCCATGCTTATTTAAACAACCTGTCCATGCTTATTTAAACAACCTGTCCATGCTTCTTTAAACAACCTGTCCATGCTTCTTTAAACAACCTGTCCATACTTCTTTAAACAATCTGTCCATACTTCTTTAAACAACCTGCCCATGCTTCTTTAAACAACCTGTCCATACTTCTTTAAACAACCTGTCCATTCTTCTTTAAACAACCTGTCCATACTTCTTTAAACAACCTGTCCATACTTCTTTAAACAACCTGTCCATGCTTCTTTAAACAACCTGTCCATGCTTCTTTAAACAACCTGTCCATTCTTCTTTAAACAACCTGTCCATACTTCTTTAAACAACCTGTCCATACTTCTTTAAACAACCTGTCCATACTTCTTTAAACAACATGTCCATGCTTCTTTAAACAACCTGTCTATGCTTATTTAAACAACCTGTCCATACTTCTTTAAACAACCTGTCCATGCTTATTTAAACAACCTGTCCATGCTTATTTAAACAACCTGTCCATGCTTCTTTAAACAACCTGTCCATGCTTCTTTAAACAACCTGTCCATACTTCTTTAAACAACATGCCCATGCTTATTTAAACAGCCCAATGAAGAAGGAAAATAAGTTGGTTGCAGAATATCACGGAATCAATAAACCAGTCACTCATTGCTCCAGAGTAATCTGTATGAGTCATTGTTTGAAAACAGGGAGTATTTGGGAAGTTGTGTCTGGAGATAGCTCCATTCTGCACCTGTTTGCTCAAAGTACAGTTTACTTGGAGACTAGATTAGAACTGTGAAAACAAGATGGATTTATTTTCAAAGCCTTGGTCTCCAATAGAATATGTCTTTATGGTGTTGAAAGGTTCTCGTGAAACCTGAGCGATGTATATCTTTGAATCCTGATGGGAAAACATTTTTAACACAGACCCAGTCAGTAGACAGAATGGATGAATATCAAGATATGTCTCCAGAATGAGTATGTGAAGTTTTAGAGGAGTTGGTGTGTGTGTGTGTGTGTGTGTGTGTGTGTGTGTGTGTGTGTGTGTGTGTGTGTGTGTGTGTGTGTGTGTGTGTGTGTGTGTGTGTGTGTGTGTGTGTGTGTGTGTGTGTGTGTGTGTGTGTGTGTGTGCGCACGCTTGCAGGCCTGTGTGTTTGTGTGTGTGTGTACTGTATACTACCGGTCAAAACTTTTAGAACACCTACTCATTCAAGGGTTTTTCTTTATTTTTACTATTTTCTACATTGTAGAATAATAGTGAAGACATCAAAACTATGAAATAACACATATGGAATCATGTAGTAACCAAAAGATTAAACAAATCAAAATATATATTTTATATTTGAGATTCTTCAAATAGCCACCCTTTGCCTTGATGACAGCTTTGCACACTCTTGGCATTCTCTCAACCAGCTTCACCTGGAATGCTTTTCCAACAGTCTTGAAGGAGTTCCCATATATGCTTAGTAGTGGTTTCTTTGCAGCAATTCGACCATGAAGGCCTGATTCACCCAGTCTCCTCTGAACAGTTGATGTTGAAATGGGTGTGTTACTTGAACTCTGTGAAGCATTTATTTGGGCTGCAATTTCTGAGGTTGGTAACTCTACTGAACTTATCATCTGCAACAGAGGTAACTCTGGGTGTGTGTCTATGTTTCATTCTCAGGACACTCCAGAGGTTATCAGCACGTTTAAAGAAAAGCATTTTCTAAGCCAAGTCACATTACTCTCATTATCCCTCCATAGAATGGGAAGAATCTGAGAACACATTTATTATGGGTGTGGGTGGTGTTGATGTAATGGGGGGAAATGTATAGCAAAGAACTTGTGCACGCACACACAGTCCCGCACACACACACTGTGGCACTTGTGATAAATTCTGAATGGAGTAGTTTATCACATGTGCTGCTGCCCGCCGGGTCAGAGTGTTTTAGCAGTCACGGTCAGCACTGGAAAGAACCAGGGGGACATTTACCTCTCCAGGACGGGGAGAAAGTAGTCCAATGCTATGCCCAGGAGGACATGCTCTAAACTGGGCTGTGCATGACTGGATGTCCCCTTGGGGAGATAAACCATTTCTCTGACAATGGAGGTCAGAGGAGACATTTATGTAAACATGATGGGGGTGAAGTAATTAATGATCTCTCTGCTGGTCATCTGGAGCATCTAGGATTTACAGGAAAATTGGAGCACCTTGATTCTATGGCCTGTTTACATGAATCTCAACAGATATTTAGTTTTTTAATGCATTCCACATCAGTTGACACATTTACCTGTTTCTCTTTTGGCTTTTTATTTTAAAAAATCACTCTTCTTTTCACGCACGCACACACACACACACACACACACAAACACACACACAGTGGGGTAAAATACTTAAGAAAAAAATATTTAAAGTACTACTTAATTCGTTTTTGGGGGATATATGTACTTTACTTTAATATTTATATTTTTTACAACTTTTACTTCACTACATTCCTAAAGAAAATGATGTACTTTTTACTCCATACATTTTCTCTGACACACAAAAGTACTTGTTACATTTTGAATGCTTAGCAGGACAAGAAAATTGTCAAATTCACACACTTATCAAGAGAACATCCTTTGTCATCCCTACTGCGTCTGATCTGGCGGACACTAAACACAAATGCTTCGCTTGTAAATTATGTCTGAGTGTTGGAGTGTGCCCCTGGCTATCCGTAAATGAAAAAAAAGAAAAAGAAAATGGTGCTGTCTGGTTTGCTTAGTATAAGGAATTTGAAATGATTTATACTTTTACTTTTGATGCTTAAATATATTTTAGAAATTACATTTACTTTTGATACTTAAGTATATTTCAAACCAAATACTTTAAAACTTTTACTCAAGTAGTATTTTACTGGGTGAATTTCACTTTTACTTGAGTAATTTTCTATTAAGATATCTTTACTTTTGCTCAAGTATAACAATTGGCTACTTTTTCCACCACTGCACACACACATTCACACACGTGAACACACACAAACACACACCATTTCTTCATGCCTCTGTAGATCTTCTACTGTCTCCTCTCTCTCTCCCTCCTGCTCTCCTCTCTCTCTCTCTCCTTTCTCTCACCTCTCTCTCTTCTCTCTCTCCCTCCTTTCTCTCACCTCTCTCCTCTCTCTCTCCCTCCTCTCTCCTCTCTTTCTCTCTCCTCTCTCTCCTCTTTCTGACTCCTAACAACTGATCCTACAGGAAATTCTTCAGCAGCTCAGAGGGGATTTGACTTCTCAGAACCAATATCTTTCTCTCTCTCTCTATCTATCCCTATCTTTCCCTCTCTTCATCTATAACTCTTGCTGTCTCTTTCCCTCTCTCTATCTATCAGGATGGATGTGACAACCCACTGTTACAAGAAATACACACAAACATAAACAACTAGTTTTGTTTGGGTTTTAACACATTTAAAACGTGCCACGTTGAAAGTCACTGAGCTCTTCAGTACGGGCCATTCTGCTGCCAATGTTTGTCTACGGAGACAGAATGGGAAGCAGACCGTCAGGTGAGGTCATTTTATTATGCATGTCTTCAATTCTCCGTATTTCACATGAAAAAAACAACACATGACAGTCATGATATTTCCAAGGATTTGTAGGGAGAATACTGAAGCAAAATAAAATAATAGTATCTCTGAGATAATATTAGATTAGATTAGGTCTAAATTATGTGTGCAAGTCATCAAGTCTGAAACACGCTAATCCCATGATAAAGAACACTGAATTTTGTTTCCCCAACAAGATTATTCTGTGACAAATCTGCCAATGGTGGTGAGGAGTGTCAGCTGAGCTGAAGAGGCTTTATGGGGAAAGCTAGAGAGACCGATAGGGAGACCATTAGCTCTGCAGTAAACTCAAAGCTACGACTTTAAACAGCATTCAATTGACTGCAGCTCTGTTCAACCTCAAAACCTGACAATAACAGCTACATGCTCAGACTACAAATACTTCAAGCCTGACATACTGGGGGTTTGACTTAACCCCTTGTCCTTCCTCTTTTCCCTCGTGTTGGTCCTTCCATGTCACAGGGCAGGCAGGCAGGCAGCAGGCAGGCAGGCAGAGTGAGAGTGAGAGTGAGAGTGAGAGAGAGAGTAGCCAGATGAGAGTAGAGAGAAGAGAGAGAGAGAGAGAGAAGAGAGATGAGAGAGAGAGAGAGAGAGAGAGATGAGAGAGAGAGAGAGAGAGAGAGAGAGAAAAAAAAACAGGGCTGGGAACTCAACTCAAGAACACAACTATGTTCATCCCTAGTCATCTCTAATGGTCCTCAAAACTCTCGACTGGTCCTCAATAAACACTATATCCATGCCCCCTGTGCCTCGATTCTAAAAGATAACACCAAACTACTCTTTGTCTTTCTCCCTGTGACCTTATTGATTAAGGGGGCTAATAGAAGAACACTCAAGCTATTATACTGATCTAAGATTAATCAGCAGAACCAGAAGGATACGTCCGAAATCAAATGTAGAACACTTGGCTTGATCAAATGTCTTGTATCTGGCATCAGTTGCTCTGCCTCATGTTCTGCCTCATTGGTTTCCTTGGTGATTAGAAATTCCAAGCTAACCAGTTTTTGACTGGCATCTTGTATTGTTGTTGGGATGCAGTGTCAAAGAGTGGAAAAAAAACCTAAGTAGGTGCCCTTTTTATTTACAAACATAAACAAAAACAAAAGATGAATAAAAACAACCAAAAAACAAAAATTTAAGTAGCACATAACAACAGCTGTTGGGTTGCTAGGGGAAACAGGAATGAACATTGAAAGACCATAACCTTTCTTCTGTTTTCTACAAGTTATGCTGCAGCCATCTGATGAAGTTGTCCATCATTGTGTGTCCAATGAGGAAGTCGGTTGGCCACATGGTTAACATGAGGGCGCCGTGGAAACCACTGGCGTAGTGTTCGTGCGTCACCTCCACGCCGGCGTGGCGCAGGCGCGTGGCATACATCACCCCGTCGTCCCGCAGCACGTCGTACTCACACGTCAGCACGTAGGTCTTGGGTAGCGAGCGTAAAGCGGCGTCCGGGACCAGCAGGGGCGAGGCCCGGGGGTCAGCGATGGAGCGCGATGGCCCGTCCGACCCCCCCCCTCCCGCCGACAACGCCACGACCGGAGCGCTGTAGTTGTACTTCTCCCGGTAGGACTCTGGCAGGAAGGCACTCCAGTTGGCGAACTTGAGCAGAGCAGCAGACTCTGGGCTGGTGTGAGTGTTGGACATCATGTCCCTAAAGAAGGTCTTGTCGCTGGTGAAGTACTCGCTCCAGAAGCGCACCATGAGGGTGCGGGGCAGGATAGGCATGTTCTGGTTCTGCTGGTAGGACGGAGTATTGAGGTCCAGAGCCTGCAGCACCGGGTAGAGCAGGGCCTGGACCTTCAGCTGCAGCTGCTGTTCTGGATCCTGCTGCAGCTGTAGACACACACACACACACACACACAAAAAGACAGACACACAAAAAGACAGACACACACACACAGACACACAAAAAGACAGACACACACACACAGACACACAAAAAGACAGACACACACACACAAACACACAAAAAGACAGACACACACATACACACAGACAGACAGGCAGGCAGGCAGACAGACAGACAGACAGACAGACAGACAGACAGACAGACAGACAGACAGACAGACAGACAGACAGACAGACAGAAGACAGACAGACAGACAGACACCACACAGACACACAGACAATGAAACACACACACCACAAAAAGACAGACACACACACACAGACACACAAAAAGGCAGACACACACACACAGACACACAAAAAGACAGACACACACACACACACAAAAAAGGCAGACACACACACACAAGACAGACAGACAGACAGACAGAAGACAGACAGACAGACAGACAGACACACACACAGACACACAGACAATGAAACACACACACACAAAAAGACAGACACACACACACAGACACACAAAAAGGCAGACACACACACACAGACACACAAAAAGACAGACACACACAGACACACAAAAAGGCAGACACACACACACAGAGACAGACAGACAGACAGACAGACAGACAGACAGACAGACAGACGACAGACAGACACACACACACACACACACACACACACACACACACACACACACACACCACACACACACAAACAAGCAGACACACACACACACACACACAGGACCATTAGAACTACTGTTCTGTTCTGTACGGCAGCCTTGGATGGCTCCTCCTAATCTCAGCTAATTATAGATCAAAACAACAGTGGATAGATAATACTGCTGCTAGCACACACACACACACTAACAGCTAACCTGCTGGGACACGGCTGCAGCCAGGTTTCCCCCGGCGCTGTCCCCAGACACAGCGATGCGTCCTGGGTCTACAGTGTACTGGGCCAGCACCACCCTCTGGAGGAAGTGCTTCACCACCCGGTACACGTCCTCATACGGGACAGGGAAGTGGTGCTCTGGGGCCAGGCGGTACCTGGGCAGACACAGGGGAAGGGTCAGAGGTCAACTCAGCTAGAATTCAGGTCATCTCGCCTGAGAACAAGTTTGTGTACCAGCTGAGGTATCTACAGGTTAATGTCAACACCATGGTAAATCGGTAAAGGTATGGTCATGTACACTATGGAAGTCAAATATGGACCTGAGGCAACTAGGGGTGGAAGAATGAGGACATAATGACTAATCTCTATGCAAACTCAACCATAAGGACATAATGACTAATCTCTATGCAAACTCAACCATAAGGACATAATGACTAATCTCTATCCAAACTCAACCATAAGGACATAATGACTAATCTCTATAGAAACTCAACCATAAGGACATAGTGACCAGTAGAGGTTCCTCATAAGACAAAGTGGAGGACCATCTTCCTCAGTGAATTTCATAAAAATAAAAATAGTGAAACATTAAAAAAGTTAGCCTTTTTAGATAAAACTATACTAAATGTATGCAATGAAGGTCTCCAGTAGCCTCAACAGCACTCTGTTGGGTAGCACCATGGTGTAGCCGGAGGACAGCTAGTCTCCGTCCTCCTCTGGGTACATTGACTTCAATACAAAACCTAGTAGGCTCATGGTTCTCAACCCATTCCATGGACTTACACAGTAATTATGACAACTTCCGGAGGACGTCCTCCAACCTATCAGAGCTCTTGTAGCATGAACTGACACGGTGTCAACCCAATCAAAGGATCAGAGAATGAATCTAGTACTAAAAGCATAAGCTACAGCTAGCTAGCACTGCAGTGCATAACATGTGGTGAGTAGTTGACTCAAATTAAGAGAA